TAAAAATAAGTGTTAACAAAAAGAAAATTTCTAAATAATATCAATAGATCTATAGTTAAATAAAGTTAATATTACTAGAAAAATTGAATTTAATTAATGCTGTTTTCTTATTAATTTATTTTTAATACATAGATTTATTACTAATACTTCTATTAGTATATGTATTCTTTAAGGTTTCTATTTTCTATTATACCAATTTTTGAAAATAGTACAAGAAATTTTTATATTTAAAAATGAATCATTACAAAAAAAAAATTTCTAAATATTATCAATAGTCAATGGTCTTATTGTTAAATAAAGTTACTAGAAAAAATTGAATCATATTTCTTATTGTTTATTTTAATAGTTGAAATACTAATACTCCTATTTTGGTATATAAGTTGAATTATCAATACTCTTATTAAGGTATATATGTATTTTTCAAGGTTTTTATTTTTTATTATATTAATACTTTGAAAGATAGTACAAGAAATTTTTTATATTTAAGAATGAGTCATTATCAAAAAGGAAATTTCTAAATAGTTTTAATGGCCCTGTAGTTAAAAATGCTTCTTGTACTTTAAATTATCCTAAAAAAAAATAAGTTTTGTGATTGTAAGAGGTTGCCCAAAAAGATGTAAAAAGTAATTTATTAAATAACTTAATGCACTTTTCTTTGTTTTTACAGATTGGTTTTATTATATTAAAAAGATTCTATTTATCATAGAAAATTATAATCAAATAGTAAATAAAAAATATATTACTAAAATATACACATAATTTTGTATTTAAAGACCTTTTGTCTGCCTTATTTCATTATATTAAACACTGTAACTTTTAAAACACACTTTAAAAATGAGTTATCAAATGTTTGTTAAGTTATCTGCATCAAAAACACAAAAAAAGATTAGTTGTATATGTAAAGTATGCAAAGGTAAAAATGAACTCTGTGATTCTTGAACAAGAGATACTCTTATTGAAAGATATGAAATTTGTGAGAAATTTGTAAGTTCTGTTAAACCTCAATCTGATATTCATTTTCTCATTAATCCTCAAATAAAAGGCAATAGTATATCAATTGGTATTTCTACTTCTAGTTTAATGAATATTAGTTTTCAAGAAGAATTATTTCTTATAGTTATAAAAGATAAAAGAAAAAAAAAGCTATAATTAGAAAACAACCATATATTGATTTAGTTAAAAAGAATTTAGCTACCTTAGATTATAATAAAGAAGTTATAGGAATAGAATTTAAAAGTGATAATAAGATTATTATGTTAGACTATTCAACTCCTGATATTGAAAGTAGTAAGGAAGAAATATTTAAGAATATTGGAAATCATGATAAAAGATTTAGTTGGATATTAATTTGAATCTTGAAATACCAACAAAAATTTCAGTTACCAGATACTGCAACAGATTCTTTACTTAAATTTATTTATTATCTATTGACTTATCTTGATCAAAATTAGTTTACAAACTTTTCTAAATCACTCTATTTGGTCTGAAAGTTAATAGGATTAGGTCTATGTAAAAATAATTATGCAACGTGTTTAGCATGTAATAAATTATACAACTATAATAAAGTAATAACAAAAAAGTCTGGACAAATCTCAATATTCCTTCATTGTACTTTTGTAGAATATTCTAATCATCCAATGTTTAAAATAAGACAACCTTGTAATCAACTATTGGCAAAAGAAGTACTTACAAAAGATGGAATATTGTATCATTCTTTGCTTTCTTACCCAATAATAAATATTAAAAATCAACTTCAGTTATTATATAGCCAAAAAGGATTTGAAGCATCATGCAAAAAATAGGTTAATAGAAAAATAAATAATAATTATCTTGCTGATAATTATGAAGATAATATATAAAAAACATTTAAAGATCAAGATATAAATTTCTTTACAGCTAAGCATACTGATATATATTTAGACCTTATAATTAATTTAAACTGGTTTAGTCTTTTTCAAAATTCTATATATTCTATTGAAGCAATATATGCAGTCATTTGCAATTTGCCCTGTGAACTCAGATTCAAGCCTTAAAATATAATTACCTTTGCATTATTACCAAGGCTGAAAAAAGTTAAATTACATCACATTAATCATTATTTTGTACCTTTAGTTAATCAATTACTTGAATTGTAGAATGGAATAGAAATCACTACAAATGAATTATCTATAGATATAAAAAAAATTAAATGTGCTATTATATGCTACTCATATGATATTCCAGCAGCTAGAAAGTTATATGAACAAATATTAGCAAGAATTGCATGCTTTCAATATAAAAAACATGCCCAGTTTGATACTAGACATTAACCTAACTTTGGTGAATTTGTAGATATAGATGACTAGTTTGTAGAATATGATGTTGATGAAATTAAAATTAATGCATATGCATGGTTATAGTGCAAGGCTGAGAATCAAAAAAAAAACACCTATCCAAATACTTTGTTAGATGGTCAGAACTTTATTATCTTTCCTATTTTAATTAGTTAGACATATAACTGTAGACCCAATGCATTGATTATTTTTGGAAATTGCAAAATGGATTGTTATGTGGCTATGGATAGAAGATGAAAAATTAAGTTCTAATAGTCTAAAACTTATGAATAAAAGAGCAAAAAAATTATAGCTTCTATTAGATATTAAAAAAATTTCTTATAAAATTACTACAAAAAAAGGATTCTCTAGATATACTGCAGACCAGTGACAAACATTTATAATGATATATGCTACTACAATTACTTGGGATTTATCAACAGAACCAGACCAGCATATTCTTGCAAACTTTGTCAAAGCATGTAATCTGTTAGTTTGCAAAATATTAGACAAGAAGACACTTAATGAAGTACATCAAAGATTATTAAATATAGCAAAGTTAATAGAATGCCATTATGGTTCTGAAAAAATTACTTTTAATATTTATTTAAGTTTATATATATGTGAAAATTGTATAGATTATAGTCTATTATATTCATTTTGGTGTTTTTCTTTTGAGCACATGAATAGAATATTAGGTAAATATCAGAAATATTATAATTATAATTTATATGCAGCATCATTTTTTGTAATAATATTTATAATTATATTTTGTAAGCTTATATAAGAGTAGCCATAGAAATATAGAACTAGAACTTATAAGAATTATTTTTGCAAATAACTGTTTAGACCAAATTGTATTATATGCAAAAAATGATAATAGATTATTTGATTCTTTAAAAATATTAAAGAAAAAAAAATCAAGTGGCAGTATAAACATTCCAGATGAATTTGAATTACAAGATCTTTTTCAATTTTATAAATTAAGAAATCTTATTAATAAGGGAAAAGCTTTTGGTGATAAACCATTTCCTAGTACATTCCTTGATCTAAAATGAAAAATGCTATATTACCACTTAATATATTAGATCTTTTAGTTAAATACTATAATAACACAATAATAGATTATTAATTTGTTAAATCTGGAGATATATATTCAAATGGTCAAATATCTGTATTTCCCATCATTAATCAATATGGATGATTAAAGTTGGGGTCAGAAATTTTTGGATCTACATTCTTAGCCCATCATACTAAATTTTCAAAAATTCTAATAAGATTTGTTGCTTCAGAAGATAAAACAGTAAATTCATATTCTGGTCAAGTTCAATTCTATTTTGATTATACTATTTATCTTTCTTCTGGCAATCAAACATATTATCTTATCTTTGTAAGATGATATAAACCTGCTAATAATTATAAAACATGGTTCTATATAAAAATTAATAATGATGATCTTAGTTGTAATGTAGAGTTGTGGGACCAAGAATTTTACAAGTTAAGCAGGAACTGTATAATTTCTATAAATCAAATCTATTGCCAGTTTATAGCAGATACATATACTATTGAAAATATATCTTCAAAAACATATATAACAGTAATTTCTTTACATAGAAAGTATTATTTATAAATGCCGATATATAAATCAAATTAATAAATACTGATATATAAATCAGCATAAATAAATACCAATATTTAAATCAGAATTTATATATATATTATTTTTATATTTTTATCATATCAATATTAAATGCTTTAACT